CGGCTTTCATTTTCTTTGATTTGCAACTTGCTTAGAGTTTATTTTGGTTATACTCTACCATGTCGGAATCTGAAAAGCAACAAGTAGTGGCTAAATCTAGTTCTAAACTAGTAGATTGCAGAAATTTGATAAGGTTAGCGCTGATATTGCTCGTATGAGAACAGCATTTCAGTTAAAGACAATTTCGTTTGAACAAACAGAACTCGAGTGTCGTCTCGAGCTGTTAGAAGATTACATAAAGAAAGCTATGGCGCTTCAGGCAGATTTGGATAGTCTCAATCCAAGTAACGATAGTAGAGGGCCACTTGAGGATTTGTGCATTTCAACTAAGGCGTTGTATGTGAAGGCAACGAAACAAAAAGTTGAAAGTCAGACTTCTCATGACTGTTCTATGATGGCCAGTCAACGCTCCCAGTTACCCAAAATGCGGCTACCTACATTCAGTGGAAAGCATGCCGAATTTAAGAATTTTATGTGCTTATTTGAAAGCCTATTTCATGACGATCCTTCGTTGACCAACGTCGAGAAGTTTAATCATTTGGTGTCGTGCTTGTCAGGTGAGGCTCTAGGAGTTGTGAAACCGTTTCAGTTAACGGACTGCAATTACTCGAAAGCCATTGCTAGCCTCAAGTCTGTGTACGACAACAAATGTTTGATATTTTGATATGACCATACCTAATGCGTCTACTTTGTGGTCCATCATTCACACTGTTTCTGCCATTTATGCGTCTTTAACTTCGTTGGGAAGTGAAAAGGACATCTCAAACGCAATGATCATAGATATGGTTATGGCCAAAGTTGATCATGTAACCAAATCTCGTTTTGAGGAACAGATCGACTATGACAAGTTGCCTTCTTGGGCTGAAGAGACAACTCGGGTTAAAAATAAACCGCGAGCCGAACCTGCAAGAAACGGTAAAGCTTCGTTTTCTTGCACAAAGGGTCCTTCAAAGCCTTCAAACCCGATCTCGAAGTGCACATACTGTAGTTCTGTGGAACACAATATTTATACTTGCCCTTCTTTCGGATCTATTCCCGTTATGCAGCGATTTGAGTTCGCCAAGACTCAAAAAAAGTGCCTCAATTGCTTGAATGTGGGTCATGTAGTTTCCAGTTGCAAAGCTTCCAAGTGTCGGGTGTGTTCAAAACCACACCACTCGTTGTTGCACAGATACTCTGTCTGCCAAACTCACCCGTTCTACAAGCGGTCGCACCTCCAGAAGCATATTTAGGCCACGTTTTAAGTGCCGACCAAGTTATTCTTGCCACAGCATTGGTGAATATTAGAGATAGATTCGGCCAATACCATTCTGCACGTGTGTTTTTGACGGCGGCTCACAGTTGAATCTCATGACTGAGAACCTTGCGCAGTGCTTGCGACTAAAGCGTGAAGACACGGCAGTGAATATTGCAATGGCAGGTGGGACCACAACTGATAGTAAGCACAAGGTGTGTGCTGCTATTCAATCTCGTTTGAATGCACACAACTTTGCCACTGATTTTTGGGTTCTTAAATCCATATCCACTTGTCAACCTTGTAACTTTTTGCCCACAACGAGCTGGAAAATACCCGAAAATCTCGAGCTGGCTGACCCAGAGTTTTACAAACCAGCCAAGGTTGACATTCTTCTAGGCGCTGAATTCTTTTACAGCTTGTTGTGTGTTGGGCAAATCGAGCTCAATTCTGGTCTTCCATTGTTGCAGAAGACCTTGCTGGGATGGGTTGTTGCTGGTAGGTACACATGTTGCCGCTCAAGTTAGTGATTGTTCTCTCGACACATTAGTTCAACGCTTTTGGGAACTCGATCGGAGCCCAAATGAGTCGAAGGCTGTGCGCCAGACAGCTGAACAAAAGGCTTGTGAAGCTCACTTCACCAAATCAGTACAGCGCCTGTCTACAGGACGTTTTCAAGTCGAACTTCCGTTCAAATCCGATCCCACTGTACTAGGGCTTTCCTTTCAATCTGCTGAAAGGCGATTTCTGCAACTTGAGCGCAAACTCGCAAGAGACAAAACTCTCCATGACATGTACCATGACTTCATGAGAGTGTATCGTGATCTTGGGCATATGTCTGCTCTTGAATCTCCTCCTTCAAGGCAGCACTATTATATTCCTAATCAATGTGTCCTGAGGCCTGAAAGTCCCACAACCAAATTGCGTGTGGTGTTTGACGATTCTAGTAAAACGTCAACGGCCCCATCATTAAATGACACTTTAATGGTTGGGCCGACTATTCAGAGGGAGCTTTATTCAACACTTGTAAATTTTCGGTTGAATAAATACGCAATTACTGCCGACATCTCCAAGATGTACAGGCAAATAAACGTGTCTGAAAAAGACAAAAATTACCAGCTCATTCTTTGGCGAGAAAGCGCCTCTCATGAGCTGCAGTCCTTTAAGTTGAACACTGTAACTGAACACTGTGCGCTCGTTGTTTGAATTCGCAAATATTTATGCTCGATGTCACCATGTCGCGTTAAATGTCATTAAAAATTGTTTTTATGTTGACGACCTGCTGGCTCCTCATAATGATGTATTTCGTTATCATCTGGGATAGCTTTACTTCGTTGAAGCCTACAAAGCGGAATATATTATCTCGTTTGTCTCAGCAACTTGGACCTTTATGCCCCATCGTCACAGCGGCCAAAACTCTGTGGCAAGAGCTGTGGCGATTTAAGATGTTAGTTGGGCTGCTAAAGCAACAGATTTGGATGAAAAATACTCGTAGGTTTTGCTCAGCAGTTTTACATAAATGCCTTCGATGCAAGCCCAAGTTAGTTGAGCAAATAATGAGAAATTTGCCAGGTGATCGCCTTCGAGAAGGTCGACCTTTCAGGGTTTGCGGACTCGAACTTTGCGGCCCATTCCATGATAGCTATCGCATACGCGGAAGACCGCCCGTTACAAATTACGTAGCGGTATTCGTTTGTTTTGCCTCGAAGGCAGTTCACCTCGAACTGGTAGCTAATTTATCCACTGATACTGTCCTTAACGTCTTTACAAGGTTCATCGGGAAGCGCGGCCTGCCGGAAATGGTCTTCAGCGACAACGTGACGAACTTCGCGGGAACAAGCGGCTTGCTGAGGGACATGCCGTCGGCTTTCGAGCGGAGAAAGGACGCCCTGACGGACTATGCGGCAGAGCGACGAATCGATTGGTGGTTCATTCTTCCCCGACCTCCTCACATAGGAGGATTGTTGGAGGCAGCGGTGCTGCTAGGCGACCAGTCCACGATGTTGGCGGTGCTCCGTGTGGATTTGAAAGACCGGGAGTCCTTCAAAGGGGCCGGAATGTTGGAGCACCCTACTTAACTTCTAAGCCTTTTCTTTGCGCTCTCTATCGCGCCCTTTACTGCGCTCTCTGTGGCGCTCTCTTTGTGCATTACTTTTCTTATGCCGGCCTGCTGACTTGTAGCGGCAGCAGGAAAATCACTTGTCTTGCAATATCGGCACTGTGAACCTCGCTTGTACAATTTTCCAAGCCATTAAAGCCATATTAATAATCGAAAGATTTCCGCGTGTCTTCAATTAATACTATAACTAGTTAAATATAGTTTGTTGCAATCGCTAAAAAGCTAGCGATTTTTCAACCCCCATTGGGGGGGACGTGGAGAGGAAAATCAAAAAACGCGTACACACATAAGGCATCTTTGTGCAAAATTTGGAGTCTCTATCTCTTATAGTCTCTGAGATCCGGGTGTTCATACAAATGCAAATTTTCTCTAACTCCCGTAATTCTTGGAATTTCGAACTAAAATTTTGCAAATACCCCCAGTTAGTAATTATGTGTCCGTATGCCAAGTTTCACTATGATAGACCGATTTACCAAGAAGTTATAGCTATAAATATATTTGCTGCTGCTGCGCTGCTCAAGCGCTGCCCGCGGCTGTTGTTGATGTTGCTGTTTGGTTGACTGCGAAAATGCTTACACAGACACGAATAGATGCGCATAGGCATACATACACTCACACAGACGCAATTGCTATGTAAATATGCAATTATACACCCTTTACGTGAGTTCGAATACCGAGAAAGGTAAAATCGATCATTGAATTTTTTTTTATTTTCTTAATTTTTTTTATTTTCTATAATTATTGTAAACATATGTACAGAGTATTTCAAAGTCGGGACACCAGACTTTAGCTTTTTTACTTGTTTTAAATTATATTTACAAAGGATACTCAAAATATTATTGATGCAGATTGTCCAATGATTACTTTTATTTGGAAAAATGTCTTTGTTAGTGGTTATAATCAAACGTACAAATTAAAAGTCATAGTATTTTACTTAATTTTGTTAACCAAAAATGTAATCGTAATCCTGATTTTGGATGAACTTGTATGGTTTACTTAAAACCAGAGCAGCGCTAAAAAATTAATTCGAAATTCACAAATTCAAGCCGTAAGTTCTCCAGATTTCAAGTTTCTAGCTTAAAATTCGAGATTTTGCCAAAAAAAAAAAAACAAAAAAAAAATCCGATTCCGCCCAATGTGCAAACGTCTGCGCTTCACAAATATTTTTTCAAATGATGCTAGGGCAACACTGCCATCAACTGTCAAATATGTTCGACCGAACAATAGCAAGATAGAAACATTTCTATTATATGCGAGCAAAACATGGAGCATTTAAATTCACCCGAGCGTCTCCACTAACATCGGACATTTCGTCGAGCACAACAAGTTCAGTCAAAATGCTGGCCTGTGGATGGGGTGCTTAAGACGACTGGGCTACATATAGTAAATAAACTTATAATTGTAAGCACAAATACTGAGGCCAGCACAGACGGGCACGACCTGCTAGTGGTACATACATATGCATGTACATATATACATATATGTACATATGTATAGTAGTTTTTACAGATCTACTTAGGTAAAATTAGTATAAAAACATTGCAAAGGAACAACCCTACCTCAAATTGTTCATGTACTATTTGTAAAAAGTACTGATAAAATAGTCGATGTTTTTGAAATGTACATCGACTTTTCTTCCATCACCATTCTATTTTTTTCAATACAATTGCTAAGACTCCGTTTTAGACCAGGTGATTATCTTGTGCGTAAGGAACTGGTACTGTTTGCAATTACTTTTATGGGTAAGTTCTTCGGTATTATAATGAACAAGTAAAACATAGGTTTTGTAAGTGGGAGGTGTAGTGTGCTACCATCCATGTGTATGCACGAGTCTCGTCCATGACATGCATAAAAACAGTGTTCATTTTATAAACAGTGATAAATACAAGTAGGACATATGTACATACATATGTATTTATAATTGAACATACATACAAGTACCCATTAAATATTTCTGGTCCCACTTATTTTAACATAATAGGTAAAACCATGATTCTCATCTTTGGTATTACTGGCATAGTACAAATCGTGATGAAAGTAGATCACCTTTAATGTCAGCGAGTTTCAATTACATATTGCACATTACTACACTTAAGTGCACTATCATGCGTCATTTTGCAAAAAGAAAAGTTATACACACAAACTATGCCATAATATGATGCAGTAGGTCAGTACGCACACAAACAAAATTGTTACTAAAACAAAAATATTTATTTATTTGGAGCTAGCTTAAAGTTGAAACTATAAACTAACTTAGATTTATAGCCTGGCTACCAGGGCCTTATGCTATATTAGTTTGCATTTTTATTTTACTATTACTATATATGTACATATGTATATACATACATACAGTACATACATATGTATATCTACAGTATTATTGTTGTTAAGTACATTGTACTATTTACATTATTTACAGTTGTATATTGGCAGATTTTACTTATATTAACATTAAATTTTATTGTATATTTTGTTTTTTTTTATAAAATTTATTATTATTTTTAGGTTTTCTGTTGTGGGATTTGAGAGGATTTGGATGGGGTTGTTATCAGCTAGGTATTTTGTGCGTGCGGTTGTTAATGTGGGGCATTGGATAAGTAAATGTTCAATATTTATCTGGCTGTTTGTTTGACATAGTGGACAGAATTTGGAGATATTTTTATTTAAGTAATGTTCGTTTGTGATTTTTGTGTGACCCAGTCTTAATTTAATAATTTTGGTTTGGTCTAGCCTTAAAAGTTCGTTGTGTTGTAAATTTTTAAAGATATTTTGGATGTGAGTCCTTTTTGGGTTAATTTTCTTGTACCAATTGGAGCTAAGATTGTGTCCTTGTTGGGTCAGAATATATTGGTTCTTAAGATGTTTGTTGATGTCGTTTATGTTGTAATTGATTGTGGTGATAAGAGGAAGCTTGTAGGCTGATTTAGCGTTTACATCGGCGAGTTCGTTGCCTTTAATGCTCGTATGGCTTGGTATCCACATAAGTTTATTTTGTTCGGTAAACGCATAAGTATGTTTCTGATAATTTCGGCGTAGAGGCTATGATTATCAATGTTTCTGATGGATTCTAGATTCGACAATGAGTCAGAACATATCATGAACTTCCCCCTTCTAGTTTTGACATAGTTAATGGCTTCGAGGATGGAAATTATTTCCGCTGAGTATATCGATGAATATGTTGGTAGTATACCGATTATGAGCACTGATTGTTCAGTTGTGATGGCAAAAGCAGTTGTGTGAGTGGATTTTGATCCATCTGTATATATGAATTGATATTGTTGGTGGTTGTGTTTGACTCTAAGAATTTTTGTTGGAATATTGCTGGGTTAGTGGAATTTTTTGAATAAAGGTGTAGGGTAATATTTACAGATTCTTGGTTGAAGTGCCAGAATGGTTTGGTAGAAGTTAATAATTTTAAAGGTTTGTATGGTGTGTGATGGAGTGAGGAAATGTTTATTGTTTTGGAGATAGTGAAATTTACTTTTACTATATTGTTAATATTGGTTTTTTTTTTATTATTTTTTCCAGAAGGGAGTTAGTTGAGAATATTAAATTTTTGCCCAATCTGCTGGTAAGGAAGTCTCTTCTGGTTGTAATGTAGGGGATGTTTGACTCAATGATTAAGTTGTTTATGGGTGTTGTTCTGAATGCTCCTAAGCAGGTTCTTATAGTACTATTTGGGATTGATTGTATTTTTTTAAGCTGTGTTGTTGGGGCGTAACCATAAAAGGTTAAGCCGTAATCAATCTTGGGTACTATCAGCGCTTTTAAGATATTTAGTAGAGTGGATGTACTGCAGTTGAATCGGGTGGAGGAGAGACATTTTAGAATGTTGAATCTTTTGTGGAGTGCTGGAGTTAGCTCTTCTATGTGTGAGTTCCATTTGTATCTTTTATTTATTGTTATGCCTAATATTTATACTCTGTACATGAAATGTACAAGAGTATATTAGGTTTGCGGGAGCTGAAAAATGTAACAGGCAGAAGGAGGCGTGGCAGACCCCACAAAGTATATATATTATTGATCAGCGTGACAAGACGAGTCGATCTAGCCCTGTCTGTCCGTCTGTCCGTCCGTATGAACACCTGGATCTCAGAGACTATAAGAGATAGAGACACCAAATTTTGCACAAAGATGCGTTATGTGTGTATTCTATACGAGTTTGTTTTATTTTTTTGATTTTCCCCTCCACTTCCCCCTTATGGGGGTTTTCCCGATTTTCCATTCGTATAATCGCCTATATCTCGGAGACCATAAGACCTAGGAACACCAAATTTTAGTCCAAGGTGCCTTGTGTGAATACGCAGAAAATGTATATTTTGGAATTTCCCTCCCTCCCCCCTCTCCCCCGCAAATGTAATTCTTGGAATTTCAAACTAAAATTTTGCAAATACCCCCAGTTAGTAATTATGTGTCCGTATGCCAAGTTTCACTATGATAGACCGATTTACCAAGAATTTATAGCCATAAATATAAATAAATGAGTTCGAATACCGAGAAAGGTAAAATCGATCATTGAATTTTTGTTTATTTTCTTAATTTTTTTATTTTCTATAATTATTGTAAACATAAGTACAGAGTATTTCAAAGTCGGGACACCCGACTTTAGCTTTTTTACTTATTTTAGTTTGTTCACTTGTGGAATTGACAAATTATCTATTACAATTTGGCTATTGCAGTGGTGTTTTCTACATATATGCATTTGTTTGGGGACAGGTTGGCGCCGGATTGAAGGCACCATTCTTGGATGTTATTGAAGAGATGATTTAAGTTTACTGTTGAGTTTTTGTCTCTTGTGTGGTGGATAATTAGCTGGAAATCATCGGCAAATGCACTAAAGCTTATGTTTCTTTGTAGTTGGATAATATTAGCTAATTTGTTGTAGGCTATGAGGAATAAGATTACTGAGATTGGTGAACCCTGTGGTATTCCATTGTGTAGAGAATATGTATTTGACTTTTGATGGTTAATTCTCGTTTTTATCTTTCTATTTGTCATATAATTTGATACGAAATTGAGAATTTTCGGTCCTATTTCCCACTCTCTTAGTTGGTTTAGGATTGAATGGCTGCCTACTCTATGAAAAGCCTTAGAGAAGTCTAAGGATATGATAGAGCTGTGGGCGCCCGCTGCAAGGGATTTTGTTATCTGATGGTCTATATATAATAGATTGTCAGTAACGCCTTTCCCTTGCCTAAAACCTAATTGGTTGGGGTGAATAAGTTTTTTAGTGTTAACGTACCACCACAATCTTCGTGCTATAATCTTGTCTAGTACCTTGCTTAAGCAGGGATTAAGGGAAATTGGTCTATAAGAGTTGATGGCTGTTTTATCTGAATTCGGGTTTAAAATTGGGACAGTTAGGCTGGTTTTGTAGGTTTGGGGGATGTAGTTGTTAAAAATATTGTTAAAGTGGTCAAGAATTCTATGTTTTAAAGTTATGGAACTATTTTTGATCATGGGGTATGATATTCTGTCTATCCCCGGTGTTTTTCCCGAGAGATTGGATAGTGCAGAAGATAGTTCAATCATTGTTATTTCTTTTTCTATAGTTAGGGCTATTTTTGATGGTATTGGGTGGCCGTGTTGTTGCTGAGTATTTATATGTGGAGAATTCAGCTGGGAAGTTAGAGTCGTCTGATTCGTTTTGCCAGTGAAGGGCGAAGGTATTTGCTATGATCTGATTATCTGTTATGTATAGGTTAGATATTGGGTCTTGGATACAGTAGACAGTTTTCGTGGGATTGAGCCCGCAGAAGCGTCTGATGTTGTGCCAGGTTTTGGAGACGGGGTGTTTGGGTTGATATCTGTTGTCAATTTTGTAATAGCTGTTCGTTTTGATTTTTTAATTTCTAGCCTGTAGATTGCGTTGGCTTTTCTAAATGCAATTATGTTGAGTGATGTTATATTTCTTTTAAGATTTTTCCAAGCGTTGACTTTGATTTGTTTTAGTTTGGTTAATTGGTTGTTCCACCAGGGGACATACTTGGCCTGTTTTCTTGCTGGGGTTTGGGGAATGCTTAGGTGAGCAGATTGAAGGATTATTTGATTGATGTTGGCTATTTCTTTATTTATGTTTGAAGATATGTCAATTTTTGTGTTGAATGTTGAGGTAAGTAAGTGTAATTTGTGCCAGTCAGCTTCGTCTAATTTAAAATTTAGCTTGCGTAGTACTGTGTTATTGGGGTTTTGAAATAAAGTTATTAATATTGGGAAGTGGTTGCTTCCATTGAGATCGTCTATGATGGACCAGTTGGCCTCTGTTATAATATCTGGAGTACAAAGGGAGAGATCTATATGGGTGAAGGTGTTGTGAGTTGTGAAGTGAGTGGGCGATTTATCGTTCATTAGTATCAGGTTGGAATTTTGGATGAATTTGGCTAGTGCTATTACATTTGGATGGAATTTATTATTGGCTTTTGTTTTTATTTCTGTTTTTTCTTTGGCTTTAAAGGGGATGGAAAGGTTGTTAGTTTTATCTTTTTTATATAGACTTAGCTTAAGGTCTGAAGTAATTTGTGATGCGTATATTGATGAATCATTGTCTGTTGAAATGTCCATTAGATCATCCTGTAGGTTGTACAATTTTCCTGTTTAGTTGTTTTGATGTGCTGGCGGCTGTGATAAGAGCGTGTTCTGTTGGTAATGGGATTGGTTGTAGAGTTGAGGTTCGATAGGACTGTTTTGTGCAGTTGGTGGATTGTGCAGCTTTGGACGAAGTTGATGTTTGTTTATTAGATGC